ATTTTGTTCAGCTCCTGAGTCTATTAATGCATGAATGGGAACCTTCTTCTGCTGGTGAATGTGTGGAATTTAATGTTAGTCGGGAGTAGGGGGGAAGTTCGACATGACCCACCAGGATCCCCTTACTCACTGGTAGGTCTTGGCTTTTAACAGCAAGGAGCATTGGGCCACGAAGTGTCCCTTCATTCCGCAGTAAAAACATTCCTTGGAGTCCAAACGTTTCTGTCTCTCTTCTTGGGACAAACGGGCTCGTCCAAGCTGCATGGGTTCCGGTTCTGCATCAGATATGCGTGACTCACAGGATGGCGAGGCGGAAGTTGAGCAGAACGTGGTGACCAAAGGCCGATGGGAACTGTAGTCTCGGTCCTTCCTGCGTTCCTGCAGACGATCGTCAATCTGGATTGCCATAACGACAGCCTCATCCAAGGTTTTAGGTTCCTCTCGTGTGGCAAGTTGGTCCTTTAAAACATCAGATAGTGAATTAATAAAAATACCCTTGAGTGCCTGATCATCCCATCCCACCTCCTCGGCAGCAATCCGGAAGTCGACGGAGTGATCGGCAATGGACCTCTTCCCTTGACGTAAGGCTAGAATCTTTTTAGCTGCTGCCTCCTGTTGGAGCGGATGGTCAAACACAAGTTTAAACTCACGGAGAAAACATTGAAAAGTCAAAGTTTCGGTAGAGTGGGACTGAAGGGCATGAGCCCATTTTAATTCTTTTCCTTTCAGATTGTTGAAGATATAAGTTATTTTTGACATATGATCAGGAAAAAAGGATGGAGAACGGGAGAAAGCCAGCTGACATTGTAATAGGAAACCACCGCAGCAGTCTAAGTCCCCTTCAAAAAATTCAGCTGGTCTGAAATCAGGTTCTCTTTGAGAATGTTGTACCTGAGGTGGAGCAGCGACAGACGCTGACGGGGAAGGTGGAGGTAGGACAGAATTGAGTTTAGAATCCATAGCAACAATTTGATTACTTATTCTTTCAAGCATGTTGTCCGAAAGCTGTTGTCGCTGTAGTAACTGTTGGAGACAAGCTTCATGATTATTAATACATTGAAATGGTTTTTCTATAGCAGTTTGTAATGGTTTGGCTTTAGCCCCACTTGTTGAACCAGTTGGCTGATGCATACTGACAAGGATGGGATATTGTTCAACAAAGAAGCAGAGCGGAATGACCAGACCAAGACAACAATAAAAAGGTAAGTGCAGTTTTATTTAGAGGTGGAGTTTGGTTTTGGACATAAGCTGAAAAGGGAGAGCGTAGAAGGTGAGTATTGGTTCTTGGAAGTGTAATTTGTTGTAGACATTTTCTTGTTAATAAGTGATTCTTTCTTACAGATTTTCCAGAGGCGAAGAGTTCCAAAGGAGGAGGTTTTCAAAGGCAGGTGGCAGTTCTTCAGGCAGAGTGGCTGTGAGTGTTCCGTGG